TGTCGGGTAGAGGAGAATCGGGTCACGGGTTAACCCGAACCCGCCCGTATTCAGTTCGGGTTCAGAAATTAGCGGGGTCAGGCGGGCCTGCGTTTTAAAATGCTTGACCTGACCTATAAAAGGTCGGGTTACGGGTCACTCTAGTAAAACCTGGATCCTCCCGTAACCCGATTCGGGTGTATAAATTAGTCGGCTCGGGCTTTAAAATATTTAACCCGGCTCATCTCCACTTTCGACCTTCAATACACGTACATACATTCCCGAATTTATTGTTAGCAACGCACCAACCAGAAAAAAAAACGTGAACCTTCGTCATCACCACTTTACACCTCCTCCCAGCCCAGCTGTCAATTTAAAATAATGTGAAAAGTTTAGCGAACAGCAACATCTTTACCTTGCCCGTATTTCCCAGAACAGCAGCAAGCGTGTTATGTTGATGGTTCGGGTGAAAGTTGTTTTTTAAGTGGGATTCTCTTTGTGCGTTGCTATTTCTGGTGGATGCTGTTACAACGTGGCCACCCACGAGCTCTATTTTTAGCCTTAGCCAAGGAGAAAGTGGCCATGCAGCCACGGGTTGTAAAATTGCTGTATCAGGAGCAGCGGAGAAAGCAGCCATTTAAACCAGCTGAGGACCAGACAGACAGCCCGACCCTCAACTGTTTCTCTTAAAGCTTTAGATATTTATGTAGCTTTCTTGTTCAAATAAAACGATATTTTTATTAATGCAGACATTCATTTTCAAAACGGATTATACGGTAATAGTCGGTTTTACTTTTTCCAAACGAAAACGAACCATAATTTAATCATTAATAAATACGTGGATAAAGAAGTTCCATTGAAATGAAATTAGTACAATAATGGATTGCCAACCAAACCACAAGTCTTTCAATTACTGTAAAGTTTCCCGATTCAACTTTCTATTTGTGCAAAACTTTTATAGAATATGATATGACAACCGCGTACGGAAGGTTTTACCTCGAGAAGGTTTATTGGGAAGGAAGTGCCCATAATATGTAATAATAATAGCCCTCGTGTAGCAGATTGATTGATTGATTGGGTTTATTAATAATTGTTGTATGTAACCCGCACCATACGGTTGCATCTTTATAATCCCGTGTCTGCTGATATGTATTCTTATGAGGGAGGTCTCCCAGTGGATGCTGACAGATTTTAAGCAAACTAGAGTCAAACGAGTACACATTTAATTGGATGAAATTCGCGAAAAGCACAATCTCCCAATGAGCAGATTTTACAAATGTGCAAAATATCTGCAGATATTTGCATCCGAACAGGAGAAAACGCTCCTAAAGTTGACAAAGTTTACAGTTTTCAAATTTGCTCCGTGTTTTCTCTTTTTCGGATTCAAATATCTGTGCAAAACCTAACCATTGGTAGATCGTGTCATTTGCAAATTTCATATTAATTAAATTTATAATCGATTGACACTAGTCTCTCAAAATCTGTCAGCGTCCGATGAGAGACCTCCCTTGTTAGTCTGCCTACGTACTCTGAATATTCATCTATTTTTGCACCTCATGCCCGTCCGAGTAGGAGGCAATTTCGTGATTGACATTGTAATTAATAATGGCAGCATTATCCTCTTAGTGGTGACCTCGTGGTCAATCCAGGACTCGCCACGCTGTACGAATTCCATTACTGTCTCTTTCCTTAATGATTTAAAAGTCCAAACGTGTCCACTCTGGAGTGGTGACTGCTGGGACACCCCGACCAAGGCCGAGGTGGAGATATTCATAAAGCAAAGGGGGCCATCCCATGGTGATTTTGACGATTTGTCCAAGACCCGGGCAACATAAAGTGAAAGTTCGGTGGTGATCGGGGTGAGAGAAAGTGCAGTGTTCTGCGCCGGGTCCAGACATTATACTACATACTACGACCACCACCACCGCTAATACCACGCTCTTTGTGTATATTTGTAAAGAGTGGCGAGTTCCAGGTTAGCAGCAGCAACGAGTCGTCACATTCAGTTTACTTTGCCCAAGGTTTGCTTTGGTTTACTGCTGCATCCACTCTCCGAACTACCCGTAATGCTAACAAAACCACGACACTCTTAGGATTAGAAAACTGGTAGTAAATCATTACTGATCGGAGTACATATAAATATGACTCTACCGACCCTGGTAATAAGGGGCATTACCGTTTAGTAATTAAAAATTTACCACTCAGAAACAAACTATTACCAATCCGGTAGGAAGGTATTACCAAATCAATACCGGTACCAAGTATATATCTAGATTTTTAACAGTGTAGCGACCCCCAACCCAGAAAAAAAGGGTCTACTTTCACTTATCAACTATCCCCCATCATTTAAACACAAAAGAGAATATGATTTGATTATAGGTCCGATTAAACCTTTTATTACGAACAACCCCATTTATCTCAAATTGAGCAATTTCTCCAAATTTAATAATAAATAGGTTCCACTTTAAATAAAAGAGTTGAATGAGGCAGGATGAATTGCGGCTCAATTGTTTTTCATCAAGTTATTATTTTAATTTGATAATATCGTTTTGTCCGAGAAGGGAAAGTTTCTCGTGGTTCGTAAGAAAAAAATAGGCAGGAGAAACGACCCACCGACCGGATTGATCGATTGTGCAATGTTTCACGACTCTCTGGCAGCTAAACTAAATCAACTAAACGAAGCCAGGTATGTAGGTAGGTAGACAGTGGCCGTGGGGACATCTGGGGACATTAACATGGTAGGATAGAGGAGGGAGGGGTTTATATAAGATGGGGAGATGATGGGGACTTCGAATAACCGTTGGGACATTGAACCCCCTGTGTCCCCATGATTCCGCGGCCACTGTAGGTACGTAGGTAGGTCTCACATGCACGGCGTGCCATGCCTGCCTTGGAATACTGCATGCTTATTTTGCCCCTGCTTTCACTCCTGTTGGTTAGTAAACTCAACCTACTTTCACCTTCTTCGTCTTCCTCCCCTCACTCACTCGCTCGTTCGTTAATAGTTGTTACAAACACGTACAAACGAACGAACGTCCGTACCTGGCTGGATGGGTATGTATGCATCGGGCGCTATCAAATTACGTGTATTCGTATGTATGCCATGACCAAATTTCATTCACTTTTCTCTCCACACAGTGATGTTCTAATTATATGGAGTGAAATGCACCCGGCCGTGCTGTTCCACTCTACTTGGATGCACTAGATTAAGGAAATTTAATCCTTGTGTAATTTCATCGGGGTGAATTTATTTCGGCTCCACTCTAGTCTGCAGGAGCCTCCGCTTTCTCTTTATGGAATGGATGTCGATGGCTAAATATTAATTAATTATTTAAAACGTGAAGTGATCCGGGGATCGGATTTAATTTCGGGGGCTTCATTATTATTGTTATTATTATTATTAAAGGTATGGAGAGTATTCTTGAGCTATGGATGGACGAATTTGCTCTAATCATGCATACATAGCGGGCTTAACGAGTACTATCATTATTTAGGGGTGAAAGACCCTTTATGGGAATGTGTTATCTGTCCGTCTGTCTGTGTCCAATATAACTTTAGAACGGGTTCGAATATTTACATGCGGTTTTAGCCAACGTGTCTCTATTTTTTGTGGGAAGAGTAAAGTTCGATGATGGACTTTGTAGGTCATAAGGTCACAGCGCCACGATAATGAAGGCAACAGTCAAAAATGTCAATTTTTGCGGATTTAGACGTAGTTTGAGGCAGGAAATCGACATAACTTTGATATACTCTGACCCGTGACAGTGTAGACGAGGTCAAAGCTCGAAAATGTCGAAATTTACGTTTCAAGTGATTAAGGACGATGTAAGGCATTCGTATCTCATATGCTTTCACCCCTTTGCTACATTTCGGTTGTAAAGTTTTATTGAAAACAGCTTTGGTCTCGGGCAAAATGAGAATAAGTATTTAGCTGAAAGTTCTTTCACTTCAAAGACCCAAACTTTCCCTGACTCTTGAACTTTCTATAATATTTATTTTCTTTAATGGCCTTCCTCCTAAATCGTAATTATTTTTAGGCCTTTAGCCTTCATTCAGGTGAAAGCCTTTGCATAAATGTTTTCCTATTATTATTATTCCGATAGAGTTTAAGAGAGCAAAAAGTGAGTGAGTGAGTGGCGATGATGATGGCGGCAGGACTGCTAAGCTGATGAGCTTACGGACTTGGTATAAATCGGAAATCCAGATTTGACGTGGAAGAGACGCGAGAGGAGAAAAGCAGATTGGAAAAAATATAGAGTGGAGGAAACCTGCACCTCGGGGCAATTAAGGATAAGTTTCCTCCTTCCGTAGCACATACTTCGTTCCGACGACTTTGTTCGCATTGAAGGTGAAGATTATCCGGCTGTGAAATGTGGAGAGAAAGAGAGAAGCTTCATTCTCAGTGTTTCGGGTGAAAGTAAGCACTTGCAAGAAATATGTAACGGGGAGAAAGTGGTTTCTTGCGGGTATTATTTTGACCTGCAAGAAATGCAAGCCGCAAGAAACGAGGCTGTTATACTTCGTGGCTACATGGCGCACATCTCTTCCAGTTTCTTGCACCTCCCATTTCTTGCGCTTCTTGACTTTCAGTGCAGAGAAACCTCACAAGTAAATTCACAAGTAACGAAACATTGGGTTAAAGTAACCACTTGAATGAAATATCGACAAGATAATGATTTCTTCCAGCTATTTTAACCTGCAAGAAATGCGAGGGGCAAGAAACTAATTCCTGCCGCTATATTTCCTATGGCTAAATAGCGCCTATTTCTTACACTTTCTACCACTTTCTTGCACCTCGCATTTCTTGCATTTCTTGCTTTTCAGTGCAAGAAATGTAGCAAACCCGCCAGAAGCGAAACATTGTTCAAGTTGTATAAATATAGGAATAACTTTCATGATTGTCAGTCATGTATGAAATTGCATACGAGTTTTGAAGGTTGGCCTAATGGAGAAAGTAATAATTACTCCTGACTGTTTTCAAGTGCAGAAATGTAACCTTTTGTAACTTTGTTTGTTTGCAGGTCACTAGCGAAAGCCGCTAGGAGATGAACAATCGGTATGTGTCTTCGAAATCGGTACTTCATCGGCCTTGTCCAGCTGCTGGTTCTTACCTCTTCTCACGTGCTGGATGCCTCCAAGAGATTCGACGATGACGACGACTCAAGTCTTCTTGTAGAAACTACAGCAGGTGGGCAACCAAACCTTTCACTTTCTTTCCACGACATTACTCATCCCGTCGCCACCTTGGCTATGCAAATCCCAACCAACGAGCTCCTCCCCAAGGACGAATTATGTAGCCTGGGTGAATTGGAGAAAGTGTCAAATCTGAGGAGCAGTCATAGCCAAATTCCTCGAGTATCCAGTTTGAAAACATTTATCGAGGTTAACTACGTAGATTTGTTGAGAAATAGGTGAAAAGTGGGGAAGAAATTAATCTGGTAATGCGAGTGGATGTACGTGCGATGATGCAACTCGGTGTCTACGTAGGTTTGGAACAGGGGCCGCGGATGCTGTGTGGGGACATCTGGGGACGTTGACATTGTAGGATTAGGGGAGGGAGGAGTCTGTATAAGATGGGGAGATGATGCGGACATCGAATAACCGTGGGGACATTGTCCGCACGCTTTCGCGGCCACTGCTCAGAGTGATTTGTTTGAGTGTTTCTTGTCTTTTTTTATATAAATGTCCTTCCACGGTGGGCATTCCTTTGTCATGACGGCCCTAAGTCCCTCGAGGTCACTTAAGGAACAGTTGCACATTTTTTGCAAGGATACATACATACCTCAATCTTTGCCAGGGTTTAGTTTGCATCGGTGTACTTTAATCACCAAATTTTGTTAGAGCTAGAGCTACATTTGTTCTTAACTTACATTTCCGTGTTTTTAAACGTTTGCAGGATGGGTGAGGGGATATGTGGACTACGCAACGACGCCGGAACGCGAAGAGTGCGACATGTGGTTCGGTAAGTGTAAATTTAGCCAAAATTTGTGTTACTAATTGCCCTTCACTGGAGAAAGCATATACGTGACGGGGAAACCGTTGCACGAAAATCAGAGGGCGGGTATGTATTTACCAAAAATTGGTTTTATTAAAAAAAACTTTACATACATTTGCGAATATTTGCGAATATATGTAGGAAAATTAGATATTTTCGAAAAATTTGAATGTTTTAATATAATTTCTGAAAGTTTTGTGGTCCACTTTCTTTTAGCAAAAAATATTAGTCTCACATATATACAAATTATTCAGGTATTTCTGAAAAAAATATTTAAAAGATTTACGTATTTTTCGTACGTACATATTGTGACAATATGTACAAAATATTTTTAAAAAATTGTGATCATCTCGAGTTAGGGAACACACCGACAAAGTTTCACAGTCGGTCGTCATCAAATGAAACACTCGAATCTAAATACATATCCGCCCTCTGCTAATATCACATAATCGAACATTAGTGCAACTGCAATATCCACTTTCCCAAAGGTATCCCGTACGCCGAACCTCCGGTGGACAATTGGCGATTTCGACATCCCCGACCAATCAAGGTAAAAGTTCGTGTAAATTTTGCATTCACCTATTTTTAACAAAACCCCTCTTGATAATGTGACCAGAAATGGACGGGTGTGAAGGAGGCTCGGGAACCACCAAACTCTTGTGTACAAATTATTGACACCGTCTTCCCCAACTTCACGGGAGCCCAAATGTGGAACCCGAACACTCAGCTCTCCGAGGACTGTCTCTATCTCAACGTCGTCGCTCCAAGGTGAGTCCCTCCACGTGACGGGTCCAACGCTTGCCACATCTTATCAATGTCAGCGGAAGATAAAACACTCTCAATAATTTTGTGATACGATTGTTACCGGCGGTGGTAACACGGAATTCTACCGCTTAGGTAATAATTTATCACCGAAGGTTAACCTATAGTCGAATTATTTGTGCGGGTCACCTCATTTGCATATTTTGACGCATTCGCGAGAGATTTAGAGTTTGCTCAACATGGAAAGCCTATATCGCCGAAAATGGGTATAATGAGATTTATGCAAATGAGGTGACAAAAAGCCTAAGTACAGCACAGTATGTACAGAGGGTAAATCCTGATCTGCCCCTTATGTCAACGCTCCGGAAATCAAAGTATTACAGACACGGGAGACAATTTTTTATCCTCGGAAGACTATTATAGTGTTACCATGGGGTAGTAATTGTTTCACAAAATTATTAAGAGTGCACGTCAGATATGGGTTAAAAAAGGGTGACCAGCATTATTGTCGCAACAAAAGAGCGATTCTTGAGGTTGGATGGTTGATGGTATTGGACAGATAAAAAAAAGTTGCAGAGTGAGCGAGGGACGATTTTATCTCAACCTACCAACAACCATCGAACCAAGGTCGGCCGGAGAACGTGGAGAGATCAGACTGCGTCGTTTGGCACATTTATTTCAATTTTTATCCCCATCAAGATCCCCCATAAAAAGAACATCAATCTCGCATTACATCTCGATTTGCTGCTCTTCTCCTCGTGGTCAAAAAAGCTACGGCTCTCGCTCTCCCCATCTGGAAAAAGTCTGGGACGTTTTATTTTCTATAGCTGGTTTTAGCAGGGTTTCATCTCTTGCTGGTTTTCTGCATTTCTTGCAGTGCAAAACAACAATAGCAAAAAATGCGAGGTGCAAGAAACTGGGAGAAAGTGCAAGAAATATGCGCCAACTAGCCACGCGCCGTATTAGCGGCAGGGCTTATTTCTTGCGAATTGCATTTCTCTCAGGTCAAAATACCCACAAAAAACCACTTTCTTCCCGTTATTTCTACCAAATTAGTTACTTTCACCGGAAACACTGTGTTTTACGAATCTTTAGTACACACACACAAAAATAAGCATTTTGTTTTCCTACCAGTGGAAAAGGGACGACTCCTATAGAATTTTCAATTTAATGCCGTCTGGCGTAATTAATTTCTCGTCGGGGCATGTTTTTTGATGTGCTGGTGGAAAAGATAATCCCTTCCTGTGAAGGATGCTGGATGGATGCTGACGTTGATGGGAGACTAGTTGTCCAAATTTTAATTTTGGCATCGATTGCCGTACCCATAAAGTAATGAAGTTTTGTATTGGACTGAGCAGGACATGAATCGTTGAGCCCTTAATATACCCACCAGCACCGGCTTTACTTGCTTTCACCTTGGTCAGGAGAGAGAAAGGAGAGAGGAGAGAGAGTCTGAAAGAGAAAGCAAATGGGACAATAAAAGAGTGAGCAAAGTGTGGAGAAGAGCCGAGTGAAACAAAACAAAGCAATTCTGCACGAGTCCCAAATGAATTTGGAGAGAAAAATGGTCGTGCATGGTTTCCTCAGCGTCCACGAGTCTGACATGCACACGAACCTCGTGCTATTCTATGGCCCATGAAGGCTGCCTGGCTGGCTGGTCTAAGCCCAATATTTATAGCCGGCACGAAAGGGGATTGCAGGTGGAGGATGTACAATCTACTTTATTGCTCCAAATTTCAAATTTCTTAATTTACTGAATTACGGGATTTCATCAGACTCGGCATCCTGCATGCCTCCTCTGCACGACCACCACTTTCACCACCTGGGCATTGAAAGCGGAAGAGGAGGATCGGGCAGGAGAGGGTGTGGTGGTGGTGATGATGATGATGTACTTTGTTTGTTGTAGGAATCGAGACAGGAGCAGGAAGCTGGCCGTGATGATTTGGGTCTACGGAGGGGGGTTTTACTCAGGAACATCCACGTAAGTCGGGAAAAATAAGTAGGAAAGCTATGTTTTTAAAATTTCCGAAACTTTCTCTATCGCTTTCTCTAAAAACTTTCTCTAAAATTTACGGAGACAATTTCTTCAAATTACTCTTGAGTGTCCTCAGAACATTTTTCGTAAGGTCTTAAGCAAAATAGAAATTTAAGGAAATTTTGAAAACGTAGGTTGACTAACTGCATATTGTCTCGTATTTGCATACACTGATAAGCATCTTGTAGAGGCAGATATACACTCTGATTGATTTACTAATAACATAACTTCTTACCGGATTGGTAGTATTTTGTTTCTGACTGGTAAATTTTTCATTAGCACAACATTACTAAACAGTAATGCCGTGGTTATTACCAGTGTACTCTGGTCAGTAATGATTCAATGTGTACCAGTTTTCTAATAGTGAACTTTTCTCCTTGTAGGCTGGACGTGTATGATCATCGGACTCTGGCGGTGACGGAGAACGTGATTGTGGGTGAGTTCTAGAGCGAATATTTGCATACATGGATATTTTATAAGGCGCAATTAAACCTGATGAAACTAAAGTGATCCCTTACACGATATTTCATTTCAGCTTCAATGCAGTACAGGGTGGCCTCTCTTGGCTTTCTCTACTTTGGTACTGCCGACGTAAGAGTGCCACGATTATTTTGTGCCTGCTTATGTACATGAATGCCATGCATGCCTCGCATTCCTGACGTGACTTTCACTTTCGCTTTCGCTCTGGTGTAGGTGCCTGGGAATGCCGGATTGTTTGATCAACTCATGGCACTTCAGTTCATTAAAGATAACATTGAGCGGTTTGGAGGGGATTCGAGCAACATAACGCTGTTTGGCGAGTCGGCCGGCGCAGCGTCAGTTTCTCTCCATTTGCTCTCTCCACTCTCCAGAAATTTGTACCACAGGGCCATCCTTCAGTCGGGCAGCCCCACGCCGGGTAAAATTATATGACTTTTTTTACAGGCGGAATTTCTAGAATTTTTGGATCATACGCAGAAAAAGTACGGTTTTAAAATTTCGTAACTTTTCCTGCGTCTTGAATCAGGTCAAAATTTCCTATATGAAAAATGCTCGGGAGTGATGTCAAGATTGGCATATTTTCGTACAGTCCGAAGTTTCAGAATTTTTGGATAATAGGCAGTTAGCAAAACGACGTTTCTAAAATATCTGTAACTTTCTCTTCGTCTTGAATTGGGTCAAAATTTAGGGACACCATATGAAAAATGTTTAGGAGTGATTTCAAGATCGGCTTTGAAAATTTTGACCAAACGCAAGAGAGGGAAAGTTCCGGAAATTTCAAGCGTACTTTTGCTAATTACTTTTTTACACTCCGCATTTTTAGAATTTTTGGATGCTATTCCCAGAAATGAAAATAACAAGCAAGCGTATCTCGTTTGTACCTTGTTAATAACCAATTGCTATTATTTTTTTCACGGCAGAGTGGGTCCTCATTCCTCGAGATGAATCTGTTCTCAGGGGACTCCGGCTGGCCGAGGCTGCCGGCTGTCCGCATGACAAAAACAGGTGACTTTCTCCAACCCACATTTTACTATGTACATAAACCAACAATCTGCATACGTATGCATACGGGCCAAAATATCTGGAGCATAAAATCAGTCAAGATTACTATTTGATGATGATTTTCTTGCTAACCTGCCATATCCACGCGGCCATTATTTGTTTGCATTTCTTGTAATAAATCAAACAAAAAATTACTGTCTTTAGACACACAAAAATTGCAAAAGTTTCCAAGAACAGGGAATGACAAAGGGGTCCACTATCAAACATGGCCATCAACCATTACTCACATTCACACAGTTGGTGCCTACGTAAAAATATGTACTTTTTTACCAGGAATAATAATCAGAGGGTGGATATGTATTTATTTTCAACTTTTTTTATTTGATGACGACCGACGGTCAAACTTTGTGAGTCGCGTAGAGCATAATATTTTCAAATTTGCACATTTGTTAATTTCTAGGTTTTCAGGCATATATTCATAAATATTTCCGATATTATTTGAAAAATGAGTAAATATTTTAGATATTTTTTCCAAAAATGCATATGTTTTGTAAATATTTCAACGATACGAGACAATTTTTTTTTCTCAAAAAAATTCGGCTACAAAAAAATATAGAGCATTACCTACATTAAAAACTACAATTTTACTAAAATTTGTATTTTCATGATTTTTTGCTATATAGGTATTTCGTAAATATTTTAGCAATTTTTCCTAACTGCATATCCGCCCTCTGATAATAATCCTACATTCACCCTAGTTCATAACAAACCCGCATTAGAAACTATAACCATTTTGATCATTCATTCTTTCATTCCGTGCCACAAATTGTTTGTTCAGACCAATCCACAATTTGTCCCGGTCGTCGTTGTCGATTTGTTCTTTTGTGATTATAGTCGTTTGCTACTTTCCTTCCTGGCAGAATTGCATATTGGCTCGTGTGTGTCGACGACAACGGTTTATTTGTTCCCCAGCAGGAACAGTCCCCTTTTCACAATTACTTCCTTTCAACAAACGCTGTGTGCAGATAAAGAATGTGACCTGATTTGCGTCTCTTGACGTGACCAATATTTTACCAATTATGCCCACATATCGTACAAAAAGTTGGAGCAAACGTAAATAAATTTGCTACATCTTCCACTTTGCAGTATTTATTATTGTTATTGGTTCGCAGGATTCGATTTTATCACTGTAATGATATACATTACCATATTTCTTGTGCTTGTCTGGTTCAGAGTAAAGTGTTGAGTAAAATGCTGGGTGAAAGTAAACCGTTCTATGTACGATAGGTTTGGATAGAAATTAGGGCATCCAAAACCGATTTTTTCGATACCGGCTAAATCGGTTTCCCATTTAACCAAAAACCTGTTTCAAGTATTACGCAAAAACTGGTTTCATCATACTGGAAAACCGGTTTTCGATTTTTTATGGTCAAAATTGCTTTGGGTCTTTTGAATATCATTTTTTGTTTTTCATGTAAGAATTAATTGTTCTGAAGTAAAATTTTCCAAGTTAAACTTTAACTTTACGAGACTATATTTACAAAATATTTAAAATTTGTGGAAAAACGGTATCAAAAACAGGTAATAACCTGCTTCAAAGACAACTGAAAGCCGGTTGTACGAAATTTTGCCAAAATCCTCCGTTTTTGAATGCCCTAATACAAATATACGTACATTCGTACATACCAAAAGGCACCCAGTTCGATGGAAAAACATTACAATAAAACATCCACGAAGCAGTTTAAGTTAGACAAGTTTGGTAGTTTGGCTGTGACTGGTGAAATAAGGTGGGCTGTGTCATGCAACGTATTAAAATTGTATGTTGGACATGGACAGGATTGATTGTAAAAGTTATTGGGCTTTATTTGCTCCCCAATTCCAAAACGAGTAATTGGATTTTGTATAAACGAATGTAATTTAAAATTTAGACAGACATAGAAATGACCCTCCACATTTCCAACCGACAACCCGAATCAGTCCTCAGAATCAATGGAGCAATTTCGCTTTTCAGCCTCAATTGTCCCTCTTTTGTTCTCAAAAGGTGCATATAAAAAAAGCTATAAATAGCTCACATAAAGTCGACCATGTATGTACATACACCTGTTATTACCTACGTATCTACATATTAATTCATGATGAGCATTGCATCGCTAATAATTTATGACCACGGCGAACTCTGGACATGCAAGGAGGAAAAGATACTATTTGTTATGGCTGAATTAATGGGCTTTCTTTTTGCTCCGAATTACAGATTGCACGACGCAATCGCCTGCCTACGAACTGTGAATGCGAGTGATGTAAGAAAATATTCGTATAAATGCTTCATTTAAAAGGGTAGTTTTTATAATAAAAAATGATCATCGTTCGTGCAGCTCGTGGTGAAGGAGTGGGGGACACAGGGGATCTGCGAGGTAAGTAGTTAATTAATTAATAGTCAATTAAAAATAAATTGCCAAAATGTTTAAATTGTGTCAAACAGCCCAATTTACAATAAATCGCAACAAATTGATCAATACTGAAATACTTTCTTTAGTTTCCATTCGTCCCAGTGCAGGATGGGGCGTTTTTAGACGAGGATCCCTCAGTGGCGTTGAGAAATGGTCACTTCAAGCAAATGGTGAGTGTAATTTATGTCGCGTATAATAAGTTAATGACTAATACGACCCAATTTAATAATCAAATTGAAGAAAAATTAACTAATTAATAAAAATTAACTAATTAATATTGATGAAAAAATAACTTGAGATTCATCCATGAATCTCAAGTTATTAGACCAGACCTAATGCGGTAGAGTACATATTTTCTAAGAGTGTATTTTTTCAGCATTTTATTAAAAACTTCCAAGTAGCACATTTCATTTCATTCCAATTCAATTTTCATTGGCATAAAGAACAAGGCACTAATTGAATGAAGAAAATTCAGTTACATGAAAAAAAAACATGTAATAAAGAAGCAATTTATATATGAGTTTTGGGTAGTTTTAATATTCCTGGTACATAAATTAGGCTGAACTGTGTGTCATGCAACGTATAAGATTAAAAAATATATTTATTTTATTGAATTTATTTTCCAAAACGAGTAATTGAAGTTTTTAGAAAGTAATTTTTGCGTATTTAATTTACTGATTTCCAATTCACAATTTAATTCATTCTACTCGTATTTGCAGCCTTTACTTTTAGGATCGAATACGGAGGAGGGGAACTATTTCATAATTTACTACCTGACCCAACTATTCCACCTCAAGGAGGGGGTGGTCGTAAACAGGGAGGAGTTTCTCCAGTCGACTCGCGAACTCAACCCTTACCTCAACAATATCGCGAGACAGGCCGTCATTTTCGAGTACACTGACTGGCTCAACCCCCACGACCCCATCAAGAATCGTGACCATCTTGACAAAATGGTCGGAGACAAGCACTTCACTTGTAATGTCAATGAGTTGGCCTTGAGGTACTCACTCGACAATGGAGAAAGCTTGCATGAAATTGAGTTGTTTAACAGAAAATAATCCAGTCCTGAAAATGGAGGTCTCCAGCGTATGCTCTCCGATTTTGGCCAAATTAGTGCCAATCGATTACAAATTTAACTATCTAATATTAAATTAGCAAATGACAAGATCTCCCAATGCTCAGGTTTTGCTGAGCTATTAAATTTGTGATCGATTGATACTGGTTTACTAAAAATCGGAGAGGATACCCTGGGAGACTTCGATTGTGAGTGTGATGCGGAAGAAAGTGCAAATTGTCTGCATTTCATGAATCTTTTTTATATTTTCTGCCAGATATGCTGAAGCTGGTAATTACGTATATTACTATTATTACACCCACCGGTCGACAACACATCAATGGCCTACATGGACAGGAGTTATGCATGCAGGTACGTAGGACAAATTGTACTTAAATACATGACTTCACCGTAAAGATGGATTTGAGTTGAAACAACCATCTAATAGTTTTGGTAGATATGAAAGGCTTAATCAATGCTAAACTTTACTAAATTGTATGTGCTCTAAAATTGCAGATGAGATAAATTTTGTCTTCGGTAAGTGCTTTTTCTTCATTTACTCAAGTTCTTATTTTCATTATGCAACTATAACTGAATAACTGACAATGGAAGTCTTCTAGGGTATTCTCTACAATTTTGAGATTTTAGTGTCAATCGATCAAAAATAAAATTTAATTTGTATGAAATTTGGAAAATGCACGATCTGCCAATGCGTTGTACATTTACACCCAAAGAGGAGAAAACGTCCCCTAAAGTTAACAAAATTTTAATCTTTCCAAATTTACTCCGTGTTTTCTCCTCTTCGGATGCAAATATCTCTGCCAAATCTGAGCATTTGCAGATCGTGCTTTTGTAAATTTCAATGTGATCGTTTGAAAGTAATTTGCTCAAAATCTCCATTTTAAAATTTATTACAAGTTAAAGATGTATATAATAAACCACAATATTTGTTTTTAGGGGAGCCGCTAGATCCCATCAGAAAATATACTCCGGAAGAAGTAGGTAAGGCTCAGTAATTTTTACTTCATTGTCGGATACAAGAAGCAGGTATATGACTGTTTTTCTCTATTACACACAAGTCCACATATTTACACACCATGCTTTCTCTCACTGTAAATCTTCATAAATTAGTGTGCGTACCTAATCTGCAGTTAATGCCTTTTTTCATGCAATATTATCTTCCAGGATACATCACTGGATTAAATATTATGCATAATTCTGCTTAGTTATTTCTAAAAGATGTATGAAAATTCTATAGCTTTACCAAATCCAACAAGGCTTAAATGGACCCAAATATGCATAACTTTATCGTCACGATTGACTCATTTATACACATTTACATATGAATAAACAACCTTATTCTTACTAAATTCGGAATTGTGTGCAAATTTCCAGAGCTCAGCCGTCTCATGATGCGATATTGGGCAAACTTCGCAAAAACTGGGTGAGTTGCTTACTGTTTTATTCAAGAATTTCCTATCCTGTGAATATATACGTGGAGAAAGTAGGCTCAAAACGAAAGTGGAAACGTGGGGGGAAAGCAAATTTGGATATTTTTGCTTTAAAAATTGCATATGTTCGCTATATCCAATTCTTTGCAAATTCTGGCATAAATTTGAGAACGGGTTTTGTATTATTCGGACTGGATTTTTCTGGTAATGGATAGCTTTCACTTTTTCATTTTATGCGTCTTCCCAGCTGGGACTAAATAATCTATGCGATACGATACGCAATTTGGGCGTGGAATGTGGGTCCAGTAATATTTTTACATCAACGGTTTTCTTTGTTTCTATTTTAGCAATCCAAGCCTTTCTAGTAATGGATCGTGGAACAAACTTTACTGGCCCGTTCATACGGCGTACGGACGCGAGTATTTGGAATTATCCGTAAATGCCAGCAAAGAAGTGAAAGTCGGGCGAGGTACGTGACTTCGTTAAACCTGATAATGAGTTGTTTGTGGATTTTTATACTATAAATGGAGGTCTCAAAAAATGTGTGTCAAATATTTTGACCAAATCACTGTCAATCGCTCACAAATTTAATTTGTATGAAATTTGCAAAAGACACGATCTCTTAATGGTCAAGTTTTGAACTGGAGAGGAAAAAAGTTGACAAATTTTACACTTTCCAAATTTATTGCGCACTTTCTCCGCTTCGGATACAAATATTTCTGCCAAACGTGAGTATTGGGAGATCCAAATTTCGTATTAACTAAGTTTGTAGTCGATTGACACTAGTTTTCTCAAAAATCGGAGAGCATACGCTTGGAGATCTCCATTTTAAGTGTGAAATCAGTTCATAGCCTAAATAAGCGAGGTCATGCGTAGATTAAACAATAATTCGAAAAGATGTACTTTGCTATACATGTTTTCACAAGTTTTTCCCGACAGGCCCGAGACTCAAACAGTGTGCCTTCTGGAAAAAATATTTGCCACAGCTAATTCAAGCCACCAGTACGTAAAAAGATACTTGACAATTATGTAATAATGCAAAAACCCATGTAAAAATGTCTTATTTTGTAGCAACACCTGCACCCCCTAAGAACTGTACGAGTGGTGTACTACCTCGAGATTCACGGGCTGCGTACGGGGACTTATTGATTGGACTAGGTATCGGTTTTTCTTTTATATATTTGCTATGAAATTGAATAATATTCCATTCAACGACCATTCCATACCTCCAAAAATCGGCAAAATAACAAGGAAAAAACTACTAAATAAATAATGTATGTAAAAAACGACTATTTTTAGCGCGGGACAATTACTGGTCCGATAACAATGCAGCAATTAGGCGTCCGTTTTTACAAGTCGATAAAAGACAAAGTCTTCGTTAAAAAACTCATTTTCTCATCAAATCTGTACCATTTTAAAGTTTATTTTTATTTTCGGTGGCGGTATGGTCTGGTCGTTTGGTCGCAATATTGTTCAACTTCATACTAAATATATACCCTTTATTCAAAGGTATCGTTTTAATCGTGGCATTAATTATCCTCATTGCAATGATGGGAGTCTACTTCCTTCATCATCGGGGTCGCCGGCAATAACTAGCCTAATATCTTAACACTTGAAAGAATGAATAGAGAGAGAAAGTTACTCGAGTATATCGTATTTTTCCAAAGTTCTACATTCCCAGAAGTAATTTTTTATTTTATTTAGTAGCTAGTAGTCGTTAACTAACACGCTCTTACTCATACTCTATTAACGTAGGTTGATTTTTCTCTCGGTTCAATCTTGTCAAAAGATGGAAAATTTTTATGATTGTATAATTTTATCCTTGGTTATCTTTGTATTAGTTATCTTTTCGTTGTTCCCTGGTGGGCGGGGGGGGGAACGGGGGAGAATTTGCAGCGAATTTATGGTGAAATGTCCGCCTGGTCGCAGAAAATTCGCTGCGATTCCAGATTTGCTACTAATTCGCGGCGGCACTTTAGCACCCATCAATTCCCAGTGGGGACAGTTTTTGTGCATTGTGGGCATTTCAGGACAGGGGTTTGAATTATTTGATGGGTGGAAATTGATGGCAGGGAACTGATAAGCAGTGAACTTGCTGGGTGGGAATCTATAGGTGGGAATTGATAGCGCGGAATTGACACCGCATCGATTCGCGACGAATTCGCCGCGACTCGACGGTCATTTCGCTCCAATTTCGCTCCCAATTCTCCCCGATTTTTACCCCCTGCCCACCAGGTCTTCCTCTCTATTTATACACTTTATTTCATGATTTATTAAATTGATAATTTGCTTTTTATTTTTATTTCCACATTTCTAGACCGTAGAAAAAAAAATTAACATTGATTCATGTGCTTGTAGCCTAAATTATATTAGAGAATGCTCGTTCGTAGTTGTTGTCGTAATCGTAATGCAGATTTTCCTGCTCCAGTAGAAAATTGCAGAACATTGGAAACATCCAAATCACTCTGTCCCACACAAAAGTGACCTTGCACCCTTCTTACCAAATTAATCCCACTCTCGAGTGCAAGGTCACTCCTTTTTATTTCCCTCATAATAAAAATTCTAAACCACACTAAACACACGCGTGACTCTGAAAAAAAAACTACTTTTTTTGAATTCGTTAGCTTTATTTACTTACTTATGTACATTTTCTTGTTGAATTTTCTTGAATTTTTCTATCTCTACCTCACCCTAGCAAGACCACATAACACTTGATGTATTCGCACGCAAACTAAAAAGACTAGTAGCATTATTCCAACCTAACCGTAATAATTTGGGTGTGGTTGGCTTTCTTTTTTCAGCTGTCATAGTCATCGTTGCCGTATCCAATTTAAAAATTTCGCATCCCCACTGACGAGATTCGGACCTTTAAGTACATACATAGTCCACCCCGACCTCCTCCTCGAAAGAAAAAAAAGTGTCATCAAACTCATCTTCTCAAGTCAAGTATTTACAAGGAAAAACTCAAACTATACTACTACCTACGTAAATATGTACTAACTAACAACCAAAGACGATCGCCTTCTACTCTCATCTGTTCATCAAACTTTTCAAACTTTTTAGACTAAAATACATAAATAAATGGTAACTTTTTAGGCAGGCAGAAAAAATGCTGTTGCATGGCGAGAGTGAAAGAAGAAAAGTCCTCCATATTAAGAAAAAAAACGAGAGAAAGTGGGAGAAAGTCTCTCCTCCTCTCGCATACATATACTGTTCAAATAAATAAATCACTGCCCATTGTCGATATTGATAATCGATCGATACATATAAAGATATTAGCTAAAAAAGAAGTGAAAAAGCTGATGCTAAATAATCCCCAACCAAGTCCCCACCTCGTCACACATTATAATCTCTCAAAAACACTCGCCATTTACATAAATAGTCGTCATTGCCATTAAAGTTTCCAGGAAGATACATACATACCAAAGTAAATAATAATACATAATTTTGTGTTATACATACATATGTAAGGTTGACAATTTTTGAGTAATCTACCTCTGCAAGAGAAAAATAATAACTTTCTATTATCATCACCACGATAATTACTTATCCAATCCACACACAATAACAGGCTCCACTTCGCAATCCTATGACGATGCATTGCATTCCAATTCATGTAATACAATAATAATCAAATTATAAGGCGTATGGATGTATGAATTTAGATAATAATAGGAGTAAGGTTATGTATCTATGTATGTAAAAAGGGTGTATTATTGATATGTACCTATTTAAGTACATATATACCCATACTGCTATTTACTACATATGTATGTAATAGGATAAGATAAAAGTTGCTATCCAGTACTGCAGGTCAGGCTTGAACTTAAAAAAATGATACCTTATCGTAATCTAAGTTAGTCGATGTTCAGTAAAATACATAAATATTTAGTCGTAAATAAGGGGCTAAGGAGAGGACAGGGCGTATGTATGTACGTAAATATGTACGTACTCGCGAATCATATCAGGAGCAGTATAAAAAACAATTTAAGTAAGAGTAATTTGTCAATTTCTTCAAATTTGCAGAAATTTACGGAAATATTTACGGTGATTACATCTTGTGTGTTCTATCCATATCATAACATATCAATCATACCTTATTTATTATTACTTATGTATGCAAAGTGAGGGTGATTGATTGGACTGGGTGCAAAGCAAAACGTACATATCAGAAATTGTGGTTTACAAAATTTCCAAAAGTTAGGTTACCGTCAAATTGGGTCAAATCATTTGTCAATTTGCAAAAAAAAAATCCGGCATGTAAACGCAATTGACGTTATGCATTAAATTTTTCTTTGCCAACGAGACGAATGACCAAATACAAAAAAACATGGCTACATATCAAGTGAATTTCTTTCATTTAAAAAAAATTATTTGAGCTTAGCATAAGTAAAAAGAAAGAAAGACAACTTTCTCCAAAAATAACTTAAACATATCAAATCAAAAACAAATTGATTCGTGTTTTTTAAAATTCTATCCAAAAATTTCCAATTCGCCACCCAAGAACAAAATGCATATTCTTAAATTGTATGTAAAATTATGTACCTTCGTTCGAAGCGCAATGCAATTTTCTCTTTCTTTCAAGTAATTGAAGATGCAATTGAAACAATACGACATATCATGACATCCTAAAACATATCTTAAATATTTATATGTAAATTAGCGTAAAAATGTGGTGAGATGATCTTAAATTTGCAGTTTGCTCTGTGTATGTATGCATGTAAATATCGATTGCTACGTAATTATCATTGTCCAATAAAAGTGTAAGACTAATTCTGACGAGGAAAACAAGCAATGAAATGGTGCTGCTAAAAGCTGTTCAAAATGGAAAAAGTTACCGGTTCAATTACACAAGTGACAATTGTAATTTAGGCAATTGTTCCAGTGAATGCAAAGTTTTTTGAGATTATTAAGGGATACATGGCACACAATCTTGTTGGTAAATACATAATTCTTGTTGGACAGAGTTCAAACTATTTTAATTGCGTTATTAATTAATTACTTAGCAGAGTCATATTTTATTACGGAATCAAAATAATTTGCAGAGAGAAAATTGCATGTTTAGTTTGGCACTGACAAAAAGATAATATAAAAAGAGAGGAATCATTTTTTGCGAACAATTCAAAATGCATATCAGCAACATTAATTACGTAATTATGTATGCATATCAGGAACTTTGTTAAATATTGGTCTGACAAAATTGAGCATATACAGATTTAGCTTCAGCTTAAGTAGGTATCTATTTACATATATTTCAAAAAAGTGTATTCATTCATACACGAACAAACTTCCATGCCTTTAGCTATCAAAATAAATACATAACTTTCTTTCCAAAAATTTGTAATTCAACTTGAAAAACTGTTCTGAAAAAATGACACACGTGTCTCTTCCAAATTTCGGTATGCTGTCCTTAATAGAAAATTCAAAGACTTTTTTGGTGCGGTAATTACAGTGGCCGCGGGGACATGTGAGGATGTTAACATTGTAGGATAGGGGAGGGAGGGGTTTAGCTAACATGGGGAGATGATGGGGACATTGTCCCTCTGTCCCCACGCTTCCGCGGCCACTGGCAGTAATTCAGTTTAGACACAATTATTTTAAAGAATATATAGGAAACACTGCCGCACACATGCATTTCCTGTCCCCAATATTGTTTCATATTTAAATAAACACACAATGGTCGCGCAGTGATTGACATGATACATAATTAAATATTTGGTGTAAGTACTCGTGTCATGTGACAATTAAGTATTGCTAATATTTAGATTTAAATTGTCGGTACCTATTTCGAGATAAGTGCTAAATATTTAAGTAAATAAGTGTAAATTTAGCCAACTTTACTTCTTCAAGTTTTCGCAGCATCGCCAAGAAGCTGCAGGATAAACTGCTCGATATGATAATACTTTTTAGCCGTAGTTACTCAACACGAGGGTGGCGTGAAGTGGATAAAAATACATAATGGGACAAATCGCAAACTAATTAATAACTCTGTCTGTAAAGGGTTAGATTTTATATCTAATACTTAACTTAACCAACCACACATGGTTATTTTGCGACGGTACATATGTGCCCCATACTTATGTAAATTTCTTCACCTTCCACACCCTCACATTACCGTTGTAATATCTAATAAAAAGGGGAGGGGGGAGAGGATAAAATTCAATAATTGTAAAAGAAATTTTCTGTAAAATGTAACACGTGTTCACTCATAGCCATACATACATATGATAACCTATACTCTACTCTACATATCATGACGCCGCCGCCAACTTCTTGGCTTATCTGAAGAAGATGAGGTATTATCGTATAAGTGAAAAACTGTGACGGAAAGAAAGACAGCTTTTTTTATCAAAAAATTTGCAAACCCATACATACAAACAAATTATTGATCAACTCTTACGTTGAAGCTATACTACTACCAAACTATGCAATAAGGCACATTTTTGACAAATTGAAGCATTTTTGTGTCACCAACTAAATACTAATACTTAACAAACACCAACCACCACTCTATCCGTATAAATATCCTGATAATCCTGAATGTAAAATAATATACGTTAATGATTACGTACGTAATGTAATGGAACGGAACAGAAAAAGCGGTCATGCATAAATATGTGTGTGTGTTACATGCATTTGTGTCTCTGAAAGTGGAATTGGGTGCTAATTCGTGCATACGTAAGTAGTAAATGTGCTATTGATCATCAGTTATGTTATCAATCAGTAAGGAAAGTCAGCCCCAAATACCAAATACCACTTATCTTCGATAAGTCGGCTCCCGAAAGGCAACTCAACCTGTAGGATCGTGTAAAAACTCGTGTAAAAAACCTAATATCTGCAAATCTGCTACTACATAAAAATACAATAATACCACTTTCCTATTCATAAATGATGATAAAGAAGACTTAACTTTGAGAAAATTAAGAGTACATTTTTGTATAAAAGCAAATATGCATTATTAACTAAATTCATTCTGATTTTTAATTCTGAATCAAAATTTAATAAAGTTGGATAAATAGACAGACAGACAGACACGACAAATTGCAATTCAAAATCCAAATACAATAACTAACTAACCAAAGGTTTAACCGTGGTATGTAGGCCGGCGGAGGATATTATATATACACGAATGTAGGTAAGACTTTTGTTATAAAAATGAGATCAGATTAGCAGCTAAATTAGCCACATTAAAATATCTAATACATAATAAGCCTTCAAAAAAATAATTAAAAATCGGGCTAAATCTAAGAACTTTTGTATTATGGCACCACGGAGGAGAAGCAGGTGCAAAATATTTATGATTAGGCATTCGGGTGGAACAAGCAGTTCTTTTGCAGTTATCATAATGGTTTTGGTGCTAAATATTTGCATATGCAAATTAGAAATGGAACGGCATGGATCACAAATATGCATTTGTTAGTCCAAAAATAATGACAAATTTATAAAATTTAGTCAAGTTTTAATTTCTCCCGGAAATTTTTGAAGAGTGAAAGTTTTATGTAATCCATGATAGAACTTTCCTTTAAGATTCCGAGATGAATATGCAATTGATTTGTTCCTGGCTGCTGAATATAAACCGTTCAAAAATTATAAGTGACTCAATTTTCTCATTTAACTTTTAAGCAGGGAGGTTGAGGTGATGGATGAGGGGCATAAATAAAATATGCAAAAAGAAGTCTAGTCGCTAATTTAGTTTGATGCTCTTCTAAAACTATTTCACCGACCGATGGGGGTGAGAATATTATTGTGTATTCCTTATTGTAAATATGTATATATGTCGCGTTCCACAAACTATGCGTTAATTTATTGTACATGCAGTACGTATAATTTAAAGAGGACAAGAAGCAGTATATAAACGCAAGTGTTCGACTTTGTGTAATTTATTGTATGTATAATAGTGTTACATTGTACATATTGTGTTGGGATTATAAACGGACGAGAAGAGGACATATTATGCTCCTCGTCCAATTTATGGTTTGTTATTCCTATACCAATAATAAAATAGCCGTATACTTATTGTCATAAGCGTTAGTGGAATAAAATTGTCAAGTATTTATTAATAAATTATTAAAGTTGAGGTAAGTTATAAATTACGGAAATTGATTTATGAAAAATTAACTGTCAAGAATATAACGCTTGCTAATAGAAAATTTCTAAAATTGCTTCCGAAATAAAATTTTGGAGAAAAAATTCTCTGATGAAGAAGAAATAATTTATTGGAGTTGAGGATTTATACATTTTTTTAAGATATTAGTTTGGGCTTTGTGAGTATACTAGGCAAAATCCTTTATTTTCAAGGTCGCACCCTTTGGGCAGAGGTAATACGTTACACATCTGAGGAACCCCTCCAGGAGGAATAGCTGTTTCTTCGTCGTCAAAGTGTACGTGCATCATGAAAGGCTGCGTTGTGGCTATAATATTAACATCCGAATTTTAAAATTCACACGGAAATATTAATAAAATTAACCAATAACCTACTTGAAACTGAGCCCTCAAACCACGTTCCACAATATCTTTTGTCACCATAAATCATGACAAAGTCTAGGTTACACATGTCGCCACTCGTTGCACCAACTCCAACGGCTGCTGAAGTAGGGTCGCCACTGATACTAAAATCTTGGTCACCTCCACAGGTTCTCCACTAAACATTAGATTCAATTCCTCAATATAATTATTATGATTGCATGATGGTAGTAGATGGCACTCTACATGAAGATTACCGTAATTGTTTTCATTGATGGGTTGGTCCTCACGCAGATGGAGTAATCCTGATTATTCAGTTGATGACCCAAGTCAAAATTAAAAGATTTCACCATCATTCGCTGTTCAGTAAAATACTGAAGACATCCAGGAGGCGCTGCAATGAACGTAATAATGTAATCTAAGATGTACCAAATGAACCTGAAGTTTATGCATTACCCAGGTCAGGAGAGTTACACTTGATTTGGGTCACCAATATGTCCCAGGTTTGACCCCCATCAGCCATCATGAATATATCCAAGTTTATTTTATCGCTATCTCCATAATTCAAGTACACTACAAAATAGCATGATGGTAAATATTTGGGTACATAATTGTACGGAAAATATGTCTCACATACTACGTTGCTTGTCCAAGTTTCCACAAAGAGGTCCCAACTTGGCATTTGTTTGTCCAGAAATTGTCAAAGTGTCCGCGTCACAGTCTCCCGTAAATTGAATATCAGTCCCTTCCGCAATCATAAATCTGGTAAAATCCAATCGTATTTGGCAAATTTCTTCTTTTTTTTTGGAAGTTGCAGGTTTTTGAAGTACATAGCGACACAATTCATGGAACTCAGCTCCCGGTACCAGCCTGACTAAGTTTGTTGTAACCACAACTGGATCTGCCGTGCACTCCCTTTTAACTAAATGGATTTATGAAAGTTATTAAAGTTTACCCATCTCTCAGTAAAAATGTCACCTACTTTGACAGCAAGTTCCAAACCCTCCTCCGCATGTTCCCAACTCTACACCCTTCATTGATGTGCAAACAGACCTGCGATTTTAGAAAAATAATAAAATTTCTTGGTTTTCATGATGGTTGATATTTTCTCACTTTTTCACACAAGTTCCAGTCATTCCAGTAACTGTACACTGTGATTGGGCGACATTCACAAGGGCAAGAAATGGCAAGACTAAATATTACAAGGAACTGTTATCAATATTCTTTTATAAATCGCCCCTCTTACGAATTAGTATTCTTACGTTTTCCATCTCGAGTACTATTCCCAGAAATTTCTTCCTCAGGTATTACATTTTCTGTAAAAAGTAGTGTTCGTTTCCCCAAAGTTTGGTGAACTAACAGAACAAGCACAACTTTCAAAATATCCGATCTATTTATGAAAGTCCCCATTGCTAGAGTACCACCGCCCCCTTCAACCAAATAAGAAAACAATGCCTAGCATTTCAGCTTATATCAACAATTTTGGGGTCACTCGGTACCTAATGAGCCAGTAAAGGTTAAGACTCACAATTAAATAGATAAACAATTTCATGATGATAAAAACTAGAAACTTTAACCTGTCTCACCTCACTAATAGTAACAGATCTGTTGTAGGATGCCAAAGAAAAGCAGGGTGAAGGTTTCCCTTATATGATGCAGCAGTTAACACGTACATGATAATCGGTTAAGCTTTTCGGTGTCGAGTGAGACTTTGTAATTAGATCTTTTTCATATTACATGCCAGTGAATATGAGGGCTCGACTTTGTAATTTATAAAAATGATCTTTATTCGTGGGATGGATGAACTATTGACAGGTGTGAGATTTCTTTTGTTGCAAATATTTTCGTGGTCCTGCTATTTCGAAAGTGTTGGAAATTTGTACGACAGCTGCGTGCATTTCGTTGTTGATAACTTTAATGTTCATATTTTGCGTTTTCATGAAAATAGTTGTTTTCATCTTCCGTTTTTTTTTAATATTTTCGCACATAATGAAATCATACATCGTGTCCACCAACTGTTCATACATGCATGCATGCACTGTTAAAAATCTGGTAGCGTCAGATATACACCCCGTACTGGTATTTTTTTGGTAATAAATTCCTACCCGATTGGTAGTAGTTTGTTTCTTTTTGGTAAATTTTTCATTTCCACAGCATTACTAAAGGGTAATGCCAATTATTACCGATAGAGTCATAGTCATAAGTTTGTACTCCCGTCAGTAATGATTGAATACCAGTTTTCAAAGAGTGTGCAATTACACCCACTAATACGATCATATTTAATAGAAAATAAAAGTCATGATACATGCATCGCCCATGCAATTAAGACTTTTCGACTTTCCTTTCTTCATTTGTGTTGTTTTATGTTTGTTGGTTGGCTTCTGGCGAATCATACATATTGTTTTTCGCAAAGTTGCTCCTTGTCTCGTACAACGTTGTATAGTTACCCTTTAACCGTGATGCTTTCCATTGTTTCACGTCCTGTTTCTTCCTCATGATTAGCTCATTTGCATTTTACTTTGTTCTTCTCGACAGACTCGAATTTGAATCTCAAATTTCAACTTGAGAGAACAGTTGTATCCAGCCTGTAAACTTTATAACTTATGAGCACAGAAATTTATTTCAGTATGTTTTCAAACAAAGCAGATTTCTTTGCAGTTGAAATTAATGAGGACAAAGTTTAATAAATACGTAGAAAGGAAAATTATGATGTGAAGGGAACAGAGTTTTGTTTCATTTTGTGTGTATGCAGAGGACGCGGAAGTTGCAGGGGGACATGTGTGGACAGTAATGGGGTGAGATAGGAATAGGAGTGACTTTTACTTCCGGTTGATTTGCATAACTTATTTTGCATAACACCCATATCTCAAAGGGAATTTGTTCAACTTCAAATTATGCAAAACAACAATTTCGCATAATTGGTATTTGCGTAATCTAATTCGTTCCGTACATTCGGTACAAAGTTTTACCATGTCTGAAGCGAATTTTTACGGTTCAGCACAATTCTAATTCCAAGCGGTAGTAAGTTTAATACCGAAAATTCTATATTAACTGCTTGACTACAGATTTCGAATAGTGTAAAATTATGCGATATCCAATTATGCAAAAAGTTTTTTTATGCGAAGAGATGTTTAGTCAAGAAAGATTATGCAAAACACCTGCATGCAATCCACCTAGAACCCGATTTTGCTAAATTTCTGCCCCCCCTGTCCCCCTGCTTCCGCCGCCAATGTATATACATACGTATTTATGAAGGATGTTCGCATTCGGTCTCTTAATTGATTATTACCACTGGCGGAATAATAAAGCCTCAGAAGTTTATTAATAAGGAAGTTGAACAAGGACTGAACTGAAGCAGTAATTGGTAAGAGAGATGATCCTTTTGCGTGTTGTGGCATATCAGGTTCTCATTAGTCCGACTTTACATAATTTCCCATTCTGCTAAAATTAGGTGAGCATTGTTGTTTGTTGTGGGAATGACAGTTTGAAATTTAATCTGAGTCAGTAACCAACCAAGAATTAGGGCCAAGGGCTCAAAATAGTCGTATATGCAAATACGAAAGTATCTCAAACGGGTACTTCTTCTACGCTAAATTCGAAAGTATGAAATGAGCATGAAAGGAATGAACTGAAAAAGAAATCAAATCAGCGAGGCAGAAAATCAGAAAAGTCACTCTCTGGAAAATTAAGACCGAGTCAAGTCAACACTCAAAATAAAAGAATGTGAAAGCCAGCCTTATTCACACACACGCACAAACAGTAAGTGCCTTTACTGGCTGAAAACTTTGTAAATAATTTGGATTCAGCACATGAGAAAAGTGGTGGAACTCGATTTTTATATGGAGATCAAACTTTTTTTAGACTATGTTTTGATTCGATTTTAAGGTGTCCACCCACTACAGGAAGAATGTCATAGTTAGAGGATGGATATGTATTTAATTTCAACTTTTTTTATTTAATGACGACCGACGGTCAAACTTTGTTTTGTGGGTGTGTTCCGTAACATAGGGAACAAAAGTATCAAAATATTTCCACATATTGGCTATATATTTCTTGGTTTGCAGACATATATTTATAAATATTTCCGCTATTATTTGAAAAATACGTAAATATTTTAGATATTTTTTCAAAAACACATAATACTTTGTAAATACTTCAACGATGCGAGACGAAATTTATTTGTTCAAAGAAATTCGACCCGAAAAAATTCAAAGCATTGTATTCAGAAATGCAAATTTTACGAGTAGGATTTATTTTTATGGCTTTGTTGCAGGAAAAAATTAATTCGTCAATTTAAGTTTTGAAATTGAAAGTTCATATTTTGAAAAATATTTTGGGGTTTTTTGCAAATATTAAACAAATATTTCGGCGATCTTCACAAATGCATATATCTATATAGTCATAGTTTTAGTGTCGCTCATTTTTCTACTCAACCTAAAATGGTCGCCATCCCTTTTATTATCGAATTTGTATGACACAAGTCTTCTGAAGAGAAGCTACTACGTATCTGTCACATCATTACACCATGACTGCACCTTCTGTGAATTAAGACATGCCATCATTGTGCCACATTCATTCCAGAAATTGGCACACCTCCAGTTGGACACTTAGGACGCAACTTTCCCCACGAACGGCTACTATCACTCCAACTTTAGTTTAGTGGTCTGGTTGTGCAATATCATAACACAGTCAGAAGAGCCTTAGATATCTATGTCCTACAAATACTTTTAACCGTGCACGCCAATAATGAAACAGTGTCAATGCTTGTGACCAGAGAAAGTATGTAGCCAGCCAAAGGACCACTTCACACTTGAGGACAATTTTCTCCCAGCAAAATACATAAGAGTCAATCGCTCTCCCTCTCCCGCATTCCGCAAGACTTTGGTGAAATTCAATTTAATTCCACACAAAATGAAGACATTGAGCCAAAGTGCACTTCTAAATTTACACTTGGACAAGCAGTATTGGCTCAGACACTTATATAAGACCGGTGGACGTGGTTTGTTTCTGGGCAAGTAGTCGACTTCCTTACCAACAGTGGCCGCGGACAGAGGCACAATGTCCCCACGGTTGTTCGATGTCCGCATCATTATATTAACCCATCCCTCCCCTATCCTACAATGTTAGTGCCCCCACGGCTACCGCGGTCCCTGTTTTTCCATGTATTTTATATGAGATTGGTGGAGGATCTCATCTAATCGGATGACCTGATGCTTGGTTTGGTGGGTTCAAACGTGGAAGGCAGAGTCACATCGAATAAATATCATGACAGAATAAATTCGAGGTTTGCGTGTGGCGTGGCGTGGCGTGTCCCAGTTTTCCGGGGTCTTAGGACATACATAGATCGAGTAATTGCCTCCAGCAGTGGACCTGCCAATCTCCGAGAGAGAGCTCAAGTGACGTGTAAAAGGTAATAAGAACTTGTAAATGGGTTTTGGTGAGAGATGTGGATAAAAATGTCGACTTAATTTTGTCCCCTTCCCGATTCAATTGTCACTTCGGATCCGACGTGGAGTAGACGGGCGAAGTGCTTTTATGCTCTCGGCTTCATCTTCGGGTTTTAGTGTGGGTTGCTGATCTCGCAAAAAGGACAATATTTTAATGTCAGGGTTTGTTTAAGAAAATAAAATCATGTCAAACAAACATAATAAAGTGGCATCAAAGCGATTAAAATTTCCTTTACAGTACAATGACAACCTAATATATTTTTGATTATTGACCTCGTTCTCACGGTCATGAGTTGCTGGAGGTCAAAAATATTGCTGGCGTTGAATTCGTGGTGAAATTTCCCTTCAAAATGATAACGCACATAAAAATTCAAGTGACACTTGAAGTTTGAAATCACACGTCAGTCTCGCCTTGACCGCAAGGACCCCATGTTCAAGTCTCGACAAGGGTCAAAAATTAGAAGCACCATGGCCAAAACGGCGTTTGATTATTTTAAAGCGTTCTGGAGAAGGCTGGCTTACAGACGGACAGACGAACGGATGGACAAAACGATCACAATAAGCAGCTCAAGCTACTTAATATTTATTTAAGTTTCACTTCTAAAGGGTTACAAATAAGCGTATTTTGCATACACATTCACATACATATGTAATCTATTGTATGGAATGAGAGTGCATACATAATAAATATGCACCAAGATACAAGCACAACCAATTATCAATGCGAGTCAACTAGGTCAACCCCATGATTCTGGTCGACATCAGACAAACTAAAAGCAAAGGCGTGAGATTTTTCACAGGGAGTAAAAGTTCTCACTTTGGTGTCGAATTGGAAGTGGATTGAATGGAATTAAATCATTTAACGTCACGCTACAAGCGTCTTGATCGAGCTCTTTCTCTGCTCTTCAGATTCTTGAACGAAGGTGAGTGGAAGTGAAATGCGTCGTCGAACTAAAGCATTTTTTTCTATCTTGCTTCTTACTGCTTTTGTGAGCACAGGGAAAAACGGGGTTCGTATTTACTGAACATTGTTAAAAATCTGGTAGAGTCAGATATCTGCTCGGTACTGGTATTGATTTGGTAATAACTTCCTACCGAAGTTATTACGAAGATTAGTAGTAGTTTGTTTCTGAGTGGTAAATTTGTCATTATCACGATATTACTAAACGGTAATGCCCGTTATTACCAGTGCCGGTAGAGTCATATATATGTACTTCGGGGAGTAATGATTTAACACCAGATTTTTAAGAGTGCACGTGAAAATGTAGAAAAAAACAGGTTTTAACTTCTAAATAAATTAAGATTTCGTCACGTAAAATTTGAAACAATTAAAGAAACCTGCAGGTTTATTGCAGTGTAATGACTGGGAAAGAATGATAAAGTGGGTGCTGCTGCCGTGGACGTAATAAACATAACTAATATCTTCCTCCTCTGCTGGCTTATCAATGATTAATGACGTTCTCACTCTTCTTCTTCTTCGTCTTATGTCCTAGTCACACTCCGACTTCGAGTCCAGACTATCTCTCACTTGACTCGAATGGCCACTTTTATTTGGAAGGAACCAGGAAGAAGAAATACACAAAGATGGAAAAGTGTCCCATTAAAAAATAAAATCACTCTCGTTTTTCCCCTCGCGCACGCAAGTCTCATCTTGTTACACAGTTCAGACCTGACTGACAAGGGAGGTCTTCCAGCGGTTGCTCACCAATTTTGAGCAAACTAGTGTCAATTGAGGGCAAATTTAATTAGCATGAAATTTGCTAAAGACACGATCTCCCAATGGTCACGTTTATCTCAGATATTTGCATTCGAAGAGGAGAAAACGCCCCATAAAATTGACAAATTTTACACTTTCCAAATTTACTGCGTGTTTTCTCCTCTTCGGATGCAAATATCTCTGCCAAACGTGCCCATTGGGAGATGGTATCTTTCGCAAATTTCATACTAATTAAATTTGTGATCAATTGCCACTAATTTCTCCAAAATCGGAGAGCAACCGCTGGGAGACCTCCCTTGTAACTCGTACATACATCCAATCCTATCCTCAAAACGTGTAATGTTTGCAAATTCATAAAATTATTGAATGAGACTCGAGCATAATAAACTTTTTATTATCTCCAGGTTTAAAAATTTTACTACTTAATACGTCTACTCCCACTTATCTGAAATGAAGTAGTAATTCTTGCACTTGTAAATATTACTACTTTGTAAATAGTCCTACTTTTTCCTCTCTTTCTCCTAGTGATGATACCCATCCAACCATTATATAAAACTTGTTTTCTTTCGTACAGGGTAGATTTTCACGAGCAATCACACCGAAATAGGGACCCTACCTGCAATAAAAGTGGCTTTAAATCAGGAAAAATCGGCTTCCCAAGTCTCTAATGGGTCCATTAATGTGGCTGCCTTGTAACAAATCATCCGTTAAAGGGTACTCTCACAAAATCGTGTTGTTCATACCATCAAAGCAACCCAGCAGCATTCACTCATTTTCGGTTATGTGTGCAGCCCTATCTCGAACATGAGACGTTTCTATCTTGAATCTTTCATCTGGAGAAAAAGTATTAAGCCTTTGAGAGGAATGGAGAAGGAGTAATCTGCTCGTTCAGTTTGGACGGAATGAAGGTCTTAAACTTGACAAGCTTAGCACATACATCGTTTTGTTGTACCCTTTCGGCCCAGTAAGTAAGCATCAGACTTACTTGAACCTACTTTAATGAAGAGGTGCACACGTAACCACCATGCACTTTCAACTTCTTGTATTAACTTCTTTTCTTTAGTGCAGGTTCGGATTGCAAATCTCAGCCTAATCAACTTTTCCCCTGGCACGAAGAAAAAAAAAGTTAAATTGGCGAATCATTTTTTTGCCTGTGATAAGTACACTCTTAGAAAACTTGTGTTAAATCATTACTGAACAGAGTACGTACATATGACTCTACCGGCACTGGTAACATCGGACATTATCGTTTAGTCCTGTTGTGGTAATTAAAAATTTACCACTAAAAAAACTACTTCCAGTCCGGTATGAAGTTATTACCAGAACGGAGTGTATATCCGACTCTACCAGATTTTTAACAGTGTAAATAGCACGAGGTACAAGCTGCCAGATGCAAAATAGTTGTAAATTATGCGCTCAATTTACACCAAGTTTTACTTGATACAATAAGCGTAAATCTTATTTTAGTGGTGGTGGTGGAAGGAAGAAATATTCAAAATTGTGCTCCCCAGTTCCAAAGGGAGCATGAATCTCGTTGATAAGAACGGAATTATCGTTGGAAACAGACGTTAAATAAATTGAAACTTGGTTATCGTACGTTTAAATCATTTTTAATGCAAAACCTATGCTTGCTTTCCTGGTAATAAGCCAAAGAAAAGGGGGGCGAGGAAAAGGTGTGGGTGATGAAGCAGGAAGGTCTACATGTCCATTTTATTCGCATTTGTGGTTTCATCCCTGCCCAAATTTTACGAAAATGTTTTAACTTGTACAAAATTTGCCCAATTAGATTTCTCTTCCTACACCGAGATTAAGACGTTTACTCGAATTTGTAGCACAGAATTAGCTCAGTTTCCTCCCCGTCGTGTCATGCAAGACATTGCAGTGGCCGCGGAAGCGGTAGGGACATCTGGGGGGAGATTAACATTGTATGTATTGTAGTAAAAAAGGAATTACAATTTTAATCATTTTTATAACAAATTGGTGCATATTTATAGGGGCCAATTAAACAGATTCATCTCTCACAGGGGCCGCGGAAGCTGTGGGGACATTAAAATTGCAGGACAGGGAAAGCAGGGATTTATATAAGATGGGGAAATGATACTGATATCGAATAACCGTGGGGACACTGTCCCTCTGTTCCGTGGCCACTGTGGAAGGGAACGAGTAGGTAAACAGGAAGTAGAGAAAGCAGAGTTACAAATGCACTCAATTCTTGTACACACAATCCCTCAGGGACCCTTCGAACGGATTATAATAGGATTTTCCAACCCGACTAAAGTACTCTCATCTCATTGTGAAGCAGAGACAGACTTTCTCTCTCTCTTTCCCTCGCCAAGTGTTGGAGAGTGAGTGGACTGGTCGACGAGTAATACGGATTAGCAACCAAGGCGAGTAATAATAAGGAGACATGCGGAAGGCAGAAACCACCTCATGCACCATCCACCGGACAACCGACTTTGCTTTGTTCAGGCCGGATTAAAACTAGTTTCCCAGACTCGAGCTTTCTTAAAATGTCAAGTAAAATCTGGACTAGGAATTTATCAAGGAGAATTAGTTGCCTGTCGTGCATCCAAATCTAATATGTACATACCTTGTCGTGTCATATGCACTGGTAAAAATCTGGTAGAGTCAGATATATACTCGGTATTGGTGTTGATTTGGTAATAACTTTCTACCGGAGGGGTAGTAGTTTGTTTCTGAGTGGAAATTTTTCCATTATCATAACATTACTGAAAGGTAATGCCTCTTATTACCAGTGTCGGTAGACACAAACGTCAGTAATAATTTACTACCAATTTTCTAAGAGTGTAACTAAGCAGTTATTACGGAAAGGTTACTTGTCCCCTGATAAAACCATTATTTGCTCTTTGTTTTTGTCCAAATTACACATTTAATGTCGTCCTCGTGTCACTCAACACCCATTAAACTCGCTACCCTCGATGAATAATTGATTTCATAAAAAAACTACCGTATATATGTAACGAAATCCCTTCATATTTCAAATCACTCCAAACCAAACCAAAACAAACTTTGGTTCTCCTCTTCTTCTCGCCATCTCATCTCTTTTCCAACAACTTTCTTTTCCCCGTATAACAAACACATTACGTTCCTACCTATCGACTCGTCTCCCCTCCAAAATGGCATATCGTCCAAGTTTTTCTTCCCCAATGTTGTTACAAATATATGTCTGCGTATACCTGGAGAAAGTGGAGGCAGAGAGAAAGTATAAAAAAATTGCTTGAATCTTATCCTCAGCTTTCTAAAGCAGCAGCAGCAAAAACTTTCTCCTCTCGCTCGTTCACTCACTCGATCCCTCCTGACTCTTATTCCACCCAAAGAAACGAAGAGATCTTCCGCAGTGGAAATACTACTACGTACGACCAAACAGACAGTTAGTCTTCATCCTCATGTATGTAGGTTATATGTACGTTCCTTGGAAGAAGGGAACAATTCGCCATCATCGCAATCTCACCCGCTCGACAAACCTACAACCTACCCGAGCTGGTTGGTTGAGTGAGTGAGCTTTCTCTCTCAACTTTCTCCTTTAAGCAGCCTCCGCATGAGACACGTTTGCAGTCGTCCCAAAGACTCGTTGGGATTCGCACTGGAGGAAATTTTTCATACGCGGGTTCACATTTATAAATAATTTATCTTTATACGTACATAAGTCCCCCTATCCGGCGTGTCACATTTATCTTCCATGGACTACAGAGCTCCAAATCTGTGCAAGCAGCAACTCACTCAAGAGTGAGAGCATAAATAAATAAAGTGAAAACAGATAAATTTTTTCAAGTAAATAAATTCCTCCTGCTGCAAAAGAGGAGAAGAAGAAGAGTGAAAGTCGTCGTGGACTGGACAAATTGTGTGCAACTGACATTCATTGACTTCGCTGCTTGACTTTTTATTCGCTCATGGTGAGCAGTTTTGTCTTATTTTGTACATACCGAGGAGGAGAAAGAAGATAATTTCATTGTGAAGTAAACTGGTTCAATATTCGCGTCTCGGTTGGCTACATACTTAGCTGGACATTTCTTGGAAAGAAGGGAAAGCTTTTGTATTTATTTATTTGAGTGAAATTGGCTACGCAGAAGAAGATTTTATGTCCATCCATTTAACATTCGTTTCAATTACAAGTAATTTTTGGATCTTGCTGGTCTGGAAGGGACGGAGTCGTAGTCGCAAATTAACTCTTTTTTCTCCCTTTGTGACAGACTCGTAATGTGACAAATGACCAATCCCGGGAAACAAAGGGACTCCTTTTGTAATAGATAATCAGAATGAATGAGTAAGACGGAAAAATTGTCAATGTCAGCGTAAAAATAATATCATTTGTATCATCTCTCAAGGAGCGGAATGAATCCCAAATTCGAAATATAATTATGTTGCATCTGTCATAATGACAAAGGATTGTGTCAGAAGACTCGAGTTTTTTTTTTACTTATCCTCTTATTGATTTCCTTCCTTCCGGAGATGACTTTTGAATAGTGCAACAAAGACATTTCTTCACTTGAGGGATCAGAGAGGGGGGAAATTTTATCAAGTGAATGATAAAAAAACATATTCGATATAGCAAATTTTGTATAATTCTGAAACCCTTTGATGTGAAATTTTATTTAGTTTTGTTCGCCAAGTGTGAAAAAAAACATGGAGAAAGTTGCAAAATCAAATTATAAGAATATCTGAAACGCACTGATTTTTTTAGCTCTGTTCGCCAAGTTAAAATAAAAATGTGAAGAAAAAACACGGAAAAAGTTGCAAAGTTGTCCCCATAATGTGTAAGGATCATGAAACATGTTAAATGCAAATGTGGTGGGCCTGTAGGAAGAAAAGAAGAAGGAGACAATAATGCGACATTCATACCCGACTAAATCTCTCGTACCAAAGATAAAAGTGAATTTGAAAAGGGGACAAAAAGTGTCGTTTTTATCATCAACAGAATCATTATTGTTGCTTCCGCGATTCCAGTCCGAGTCCCGGGATGAATACAAAGTTGGGTCAGAAGAACTAGCGTACCGGATTGAGACTACCCGAATTTTGAATATTATTAGTCTCATCCATTCCTCTGCTACAAAATACGGCAAACTTTCTCCCATATTTCTCCCCATTTTTCCACTTTGGTCTATCAGTGTTACAAAAAATATTGGTTTTGTACCACCCAATGTAAACATTACTACCCAAGTGGTGAAGCAATATCAATATCAATCCCATCAACATGTCACGGTCCACGGAAGGCAACACTTTTCCGCAAGTTATTAGCCGGCTTTTGCTCCTGCTCCTCGTCTGCCTCCCGTCAATACCCGGTTCGGACTTGGGTGGTTCAGATTCTTATCATAATAAACCTCCGCAAAGAAGTTGGAGTTCGAGAGTGGTCACGACGAAATTGGGGCTTGTGCGCGGGTTCATAACGGTGCCACGGGGTTTCGACGGGGTGGAAGTATTTCTCGGGCTGCCGTACGCCCAAGCCCCGTTGGGTTCGTTACGCCTGATGCCACCGGTCAGTGGGTCGCCGTGGTCCGGGACACGGATGAATGACCAGCCGGGACCCGTCTGCCCGCAAGTTTTTCCCCTCCCGTCGATACGGACGAGGACTGCTTTCTCCGGAAGTGAGGACGATGGGAGAGGAGGAGGAGAAAGTGAGGATGGGGAAAGTATGGATGGTGTTGGTACGAGTGAAAGTGGTGACCTGCATGGGGAAGGGGAAGAATGGGGATTGAACGAGACGGAAATTTTGAAGAATATGCCTCGTGGAAGGATGATCCAACTCAAGAGATTGGCTCCCTTGTTACAAAATCAGAGTGAAGACTGTCTCTATCTCAATATTTATGTTCCACTGGCTGGTAAGTTGGGTTAGGTTACTTATTGGTTTGGGGCTGGGTTGTTATTAATTTCAGGTTTACATGACTTACGGAAAAGAAAATATTTGTGGAGGGGTGGAAGATAAATGTAATTTGTAACGATTTTTCGGGATATTCTACGTCAAAGGAGGGAGATGCATGTAGTGCATAGATATGTAATTAAGATAGATCACTGATCTCAAATCTATCCAATGGGAAAAACTAGGCGAAACTTTTAAGGGAAACTAAATCCTGCTTCTGGTTTTGCTAACTGGGGCAGAGTGACAACATGCGTTTTACCCAAATTAGACCTAAGTGAGACCAAAATCATACATGTTGAGACGCTTTTTCAATAGTTCGGGTATCTATAAGAACAATGTCACTGAATATAATCGGCTTAAAATTTTAACCAGAAAGTCAAGATATATGTCTGTAATGGTTACAAATTTGCCACCGACTGGTAATAAACTTACCACCACTTGTTATAAATTTGTTACAACTGATAAACTTATAACCGGTCATTGGCAAATTTATACCACGGCGGTAGAACCATACATCTCTACTCTCAACTTACAAATCCCAACCCAATTATTTTCAGTGTAGGTACACGCACATGAAACGATATGGAGATGACAGTTACGTAATTAGAAGGGAAGCCATCTCTGTGTGCATGTCGTACGTATGTAAAAATTCATTTAAAGATTTCGCCCAACTTTTGGCCCCTCATTTCCCAACAATTCTGCAGACAGGGACCAAGAATGGGGATTACTTGGGCCTTAGTCTCTCTCTCTCTCTCCTCTCTTTCCCCGTGTCTCTTCGTCTTAAAGACTTTACTAACAATAGAAAACGGCCTAAAAAGTCTTAGTTAGCGAAAACTGTGGAAACTTTGTCTTCTTCTTTTGGTGAACTCGAGCCCCCGGCCATCACCGATTTTCATTGGTTCACAACCAATGTAATTTCACTTGAGTCAGTCCGTTCGACTACTGGAGAAAGTGAAGGCGGAAAGTTCCTTAAAGTCTTAAAAGCTGAGCTCTCTCTTCATTTAGTGACTTTGGTTGTAATAATAATAATAGGCGAAGGGTGTAGTAGGAGTAGTAATGGTGGTGGTCGTCGTCGTACCCAAAATAGACTAAAATGTCTTTGTTCCTCGTTCTGAGATACCGGTTGAGCATAATCAAATGTGTTTCGTCTCTTTGTTTAAAGTAAGGTGGAGACAAATCAAAAGAATTCGGAGAAGGGAGATGTCCCAGCGAATGCTCCTGGATTTTGAGCAAATTGGTGTTAATCGATTACAAATTTGATTGGTACGAAATTTGCAAAAGACACGATCCGCCAAGGTTATATTTGCATCGAAAGTGGAGAAAATGCGCAGTAAATTTGGAAAGTGTAAAATTTGTCGACTTTAACATGCACTTTCTCCTCTTGGGATGCAAATACCTCTGCCAAACGTGCCCATTGGGAGATCGTGCCATTCACAAATTTCATACGAATTAAATTAGTGAGTGATTGGCGCTAATTTTGCCATAATCGGAGAGCGCACGCTGCGAGACCTCCATTGTGAATGGGCAGAGGTCTTTTGCTCCATTTTAAACCTTTACCGGAAAATAAACCTAACAAAATTTCAAATTTGATGCAATCAGACAAATGAATTTTGTTACATATTTTGCAACAAATTTTGAATTCCAATTTTGTACTACCTTTCTTTAAGTGGAAATTAATCTAACCAACCTACATACCTTGTACACATTGGTGTATACTCGTTAGGTGACAGACAGCAATCAGCTATGTAACGTTGCTCATCAACTTTTACAAGTTTTTTAATGAGTCAACCCATGTAAAGGATATACGTCCAGCAACGTCATGTCATTTTCAGTTTGACTTGGTAGTTGAGACATCACTTTACTTATTACATACGCGCCTCGCTCTTGTGAAACTTGGTGCTGCTAAAACACCACCAAATTTAAATTCATGTAACGAAGAATGGATTCGTGTGCTTGTGATGGCTCCTGCTGAATTCCAAACTTTCTCTTTTCGCAACGTGTGGATACAAAGTAAGTCGAATCTGTTTAAGGAAATGAACGCTTAGCAAGGAAGCAGATAGCTCATCACAGTTCAGGGTGAAATGAGTTTAATATTACGACGGAAGAGTAACAAAATGACAGGAAAGTTTCTTGGTTTTAGAGCAGAGATAATTTTCACATGAGTAAAGTTTACGAGGGAGATTTCGTTCCGTCCTTTGGGGACACTTTTGCTCCTCTTGGAACACTCTGTGTTTGTATGTAAGAAGGGGGAAAGGAAGTTGTAAAATTTGGTCGTGGCAACTCGTGTGGATTTCCGTTGAAATATGCCAACCAACCGCTTGCTTTCTCTCTCTCGCGTGTTGGTCAGTCCACCGTGAAATCTGAAATTTATCTGGACAAACATGCGACGACCCGTCTTAAATAAATTTTATATTCAGAATGCATAAAATTAGGGGGACATCCGATCTGAGGGAGGGAAATTGCTGGGTGAAGACAATAACAGGGAATAATTTCGGGGGACAGGGTTTCGTTTCTTGCGGGTTTGCTGAATACATTTCTTGCACTGTAAAGCAAGAACCGCAAGAAATCGGAGGTGTGAGAAACTGTATATATATTTTTGTTATAAAGTACAAGAAGTAAATATGCGATATTTGGCCACGTCCTGTACGTATTATTTATGGCGGCGGGAAGCAATTTCTTGCGCCATGCATTTCTTGCAGGTCGAAATACCCGTAAAAAACAACTTTCTTCCGGGTCAAAATAGCTACAAGGATACTGCAAAGCAAGGCATGCAAAAAATGTGAGGCACAAGAAACTGCAAAGAAAGTGCAAGAAACATGCACCATCTGGCCACGTGCTGTATGAAGTAGTTTCCTGCGCCTTCCGTTTCTTGCAGGTCAAAATACCTGCAAAAAACCATTTTCTTGCCATCGTTTCTTGCACGTGGTTACTTTCACCGGAAACCCTGGCTGGCTCTGCATTTATGAGATGGTTGATGAGGGTGTGTAGAATGGTTGGTCATGTCATGAAATAAGTGGCTATAAGACAAGCCCATTGTTAATTTAGCAAAGTTACTCAAACTTTGTTGCACAAGTATGTAGTCCTTCCTCGTCCTAATACAATAAAGGGAGCACCATTAAAGTTGGTCTAATCAAGGAGTTAGAATACCTCTAATTTCACGAGATACCACTTTCCCCTCATGAAGTATCATCATCATCATCCATCCAATTTGATGTTAGTTCAGATTATAAACAGACTTACACCAAGGTTTTTTTGTAGTTTTGATTGAGTTTTTCGTCAAGTATGTAATTTTACAGTGTTATTACCAACCGCACATCAAAATATTCTATGAAAGTTCATACACAAACTGATAAAATACAAATAGAGTTATTTGTGATTCTACAAATATTTGTTTATCCAACTTGTAAACTAGTTTCCGATTAAAATTACTCTCTCCCCGTCATTTAGTCGATCTACTAATTTAGAGGCTGCAGTTCTAAACAGTTAGTTTAGTTTGTTCATGTATTGTTTGCCCGACCGAAAATTGGCAAATGTTCAACATCCGTTTATCAAAGAAAGAGAACAATTGAACGCACACTTGTTAATGTTGAGTGCCTCACTCCGTCGCACTTTATATTTTCATTTACTTACTTCCAAATTTCCTACCAACACCACTTCATTGCTACGTACAAATAAATAAACTTGTGTGGAACTACATAGAAACGACGACAATTTCCAGTTTTGCTTATTTGTATTTCAGCCAAAATATAACAAATGAGATGTGAGATACGTCTAATGAGATAACGAACATAACTAAATGTAACAAAGCCAATTCACTAATTGGACCATAAATTATGGCGAATATGTAAAACCATCTCATAATATTCCACTCCACTCCACTCTCTTCCTGGATTTAATACATTACATACCTGTTAAAAAGAAAATTACAATTCATTCAGGATTTTATCTTCCATTTTCATACCAAACCATCCCTGTTTTAAATTTGTAATTCATTTTCTGCAGAAACTTGGCCCAATCTTATGCAGGAAAAACTGAAAACAGAGCGATTGTGCACAAAACTATGATGCACATACGGTTCTGCAGATTAGAACTTATAGAAATTTTCTGCATTTTGTACATAAAATTATGCTGGATTCAGCCTGCATCCAGGTTTTGTCAATTACTGCAGAATTTCTACCAAAGAAATGTCAGCAGCTTAATAGCGCAGAGTTATGGTTCTAAATGTAAGAACTTTCTCTTTTTGCTACAGTCTTCCATTTTGCAGAATTACATATTAGTTAGTTGAATCACGAGTGCAAACATTTATGACATTTTCAGACGACTGAGGAGGGGAGGTTGTGTACTATCAACTCCCGGATCTCGATGCCCTTTGGATATGTTGTAGTGTCCCATGAATGTACAACAACCCTGAAGTGGTTTAATGCCATGGCCACATTTGCGCCCGCCACACCCACTCAAAGGTGCCCAAAAATCGCTTTCACTCTAGCTTTCACTCATTCCAAGCCACGCCAAAAATCCAATTTTACTCCGATTTTGAAATTTCTTTCAACATTATACTCCCAGATAGTTGTTCTCTTATTTCCAACATCAAACTCAACTTTTTTGATGATTATTTCGCAGCCATAATTTGCTTTGTTGATTACTGCAACAATGCTCATTCAGAATTTTAAATCTTAAAAATACTAAAAATTTCAAAAAGTGGAGTTTGATGTTGGATATAAGAAAGCAACTATTTGGGAGTATAATGGTGAAAGAAACTTCAAAATCGGAGTAAAATTGGATTTTTGGCGTGGTTTTGAATGAGTGAAAGCTGGAGTGAAAGCGATTTTTGGGCACCTTTGAGTGGGTGTGGCGGGCGCAAATGTGGCCATGGCATTAAACCACTTCAGGGTTGTTGTACATTCATGGGACACTACAACATATCCAAAGGGCATCGAGATCCGGGAGTTGATAGTACACAAC